ATTGATGGACGCGTATCCAGTCAGCCAACGACGGATTACAAACTACTGGGCCAACACCTTCCGCGAGCGTAGGAAGGGTGCCTCTGCTGCTGAGCTTGCAGCGAGCAGCTCCTCGAAGCCGTGAACATGAGCAAAGAGGTGACATTCACATCCCTCAGACGTTCAGCTTCCCTCAGCGAAGCTGAGAAAAGCTTGGCTGATTACACAAGTAGCACGAGAATCTGTGCTCACCTGACCCCAAGCCGTGCGCTCCGTGCTCGAGCAAACGTTTCACTGCTGTACACCTTTGAAGCCTCGAGTACTATCATGCAAACAGCAATACTTTTGACCGACATTGCAGGAAAAAAAAACGGATGAGAGCCGGCTGAACCGGCGATGGTGTGCCAATCTCGAATCGAGTAGGGCACAGGTATGGCACCAGCCATCGTGCAGGTCTGTTGGTTCTCTCGATGTCATACGCAGCAGATAGTATCATCACTCTTCTTGAGATTGCCTTCACATCCACCTCCACAACGGTGATCGGGGCGCCCAGATCCAGCTTGACATTTGTGAGTCGAGTGTCGAGTCACGAGTGTCGATGCCGCAGGACGAACGACGGTGCGCGCGCAGGGCACGTCGCGCGGGACTTGAGGAAGGCCCGCCAGATGGTGAAGGGCAGTGTATTCGATTTGGGCCCCATATTGTCGCGTATAGGTCCAAATGCATGACAATGTCACGCATGTCATACCTGAAATCACCACCATCAGATCCAGCGAACACATGCGTGACAACGTCTCTCACGCTGCCTTGACAAGATCCACTCGTCGATCGAAAATAAGCGTGGCTCGACGCGACGCGGACGACGAACGAACTATTACGCAGGCGACTTGACCTTCTAATGCGTAAGAGAGGTACAACTTTCCCCGGCGCGATCTCAATCAAGACTCAAGCCTTCTTGCCTCGATGTGTGCAACGACTTTGCAGGCCCTTGCTCTACTCGCTGGCTGCTCCCGATGCACATTCGTGATTTACAATTGCACTCTCGTTCTGGCTCACTGTAAAGGGCTTGCGACTCCAGACTGTGTGCCTCTTTCCTGATCCTGCGCCCCACGCGGCAGCAGCCTGATAATGTGAACTATAGACGTGGGCACTCCTTTTTGTGTCGTCGCAAATTCCTGACTGTTATGGCCTGATGATGACCCCGTTCCATATTCACCACGAGCGATGGAATCTGCTCAGCAATCAACCGACTCGTGTACACTCACAGACAGGTCGCACGTGCACCCAGAAGTGAATGCAGTCACTGAGTCGCAGGTCATATATCCGACAATCGGAGATGATGGTGGTCCATTGCCAGGATCAGGGCGCATCTGTCTATCCCAGTCAAAGTCCAACATTCGCGTGCGCGTGACGTACATTGTTGTAAAAGGGATCGCCGCGCGCCTGGCCGGACGTTTTTT